AAAAATAAATGATGATGATCATGGTTACGGTATAAAATTCTATAGTGATAATGTAGAAATAAATGGATTATTTCATTGGAAAATTAAAGACCCGAAAATAAATGAAGGTAAACGTCCACCTTATTGTATAGTGATTTACGTTTTCTTGGTATTCTTTCCAGTAGTTGCTATTCCGATATTTTGGATTACTATTATTCTTAAAAATGGCCTTGAGCCAATTAATTTAGTTTTTTTAATATTATTTGGTATATTAATTTTAAAATTTGTTATTTTTTGTATTTATTATATATTTATTAAATGTTTTGAATGTTTTAGATGTTTTGACCAAACATATATTTCCTTTATATTACTTTTTATTGCATTTTATGTACCAAATATTTTACAAACAATAATTATTTTGCTAAAATGGCCGATTAATTTTTATTTTCTCAAAGCATGTGTATTTATACAAATTATGTCTTTAACAAGAAGCGTAAATTACTATACTGAAGAATTACCTGATAATTTTTTAGCTACTTCAACTTCAATAATTCAGCATAGTTTATATATTGAATTTCTTCATCTAAAAAAATATCATAGAAAAATTGGTGGTGAATAAGTTTTTTTTCAAGTCATTTTTTAGCATTTTTATTAAGTCTAAATTGATAAACATGTTTAATTCATTATATTCATGCCGTATAATTATTGCTCGATCATATGACTTTATTTATACAAAACTGAAGAACATATGGGATTTACGGTTCGCTACCTTGGCGGACTCCGACTTAAGTTACAAATTACAACTATAGAAAACAACAACCCCATAGGGCCTATTTGATAACAATGGCCCACCACAGCAATTTCTCTTGTGTTACGATAAAGGTGACTAACGGACGCTAGCAATATTTACGCGTCCTTCAAGAACTGATGAAACTAGAAACTATTTCAGGTTCAAAGCTTAGCATGTAGAGCGACTGTCAAGGTTAACTCCATAGCTGTAAAGAGAATCGGTAAAGTTGCCTTAAGCCCATGTGAGAAAGGGTATATTCTTATAATGGTCCTTGCACTGCCATCTGCAGCCGCAGAGCCAAAACAACAAGTGGTCCTTGCACTGCTACTGCAGCCGCGGAGCCAACATAACAACAGATGCTACTGCTTCCCTGCTTCATTACCTTTCGAGAACTCATATAGGTGCGCAAAAAAAAAAAAAAAAGAAAAACAAACAAAAACAAAGGTTATTTATTGTAATTCGGGTGGGTGAGGGAGGGCGATAGAGCCAGCCTTCACAAGGCGAGCGATAGCGAAGAGAAAGATAACCTTCTTTCTCCCAGATAGGTGACCTTAATATCCCAAGCCACTTATCATTCTTCTGCGTCACTGCTTTCCCACTTGAGACAATAACCATCATCCCTTACACCAATTACCGATTTTCTAATATTCATGAAAAATACCAATTCCAAATAATCATATGCAATTACCCACTGACCCGAAGTTACCTGTACATACAAGAAAATATCATAACATAATAACAAAAGAATAACCAAAAGAGTACCAAAGAATAACCATAAAAGGATACATGACAAATTCGGAACATGATAGACGTAAAGTCATCTGATCTCGCAATAATGATCGCCCTGTCACTTCGTTGACAAGCATGTTGAAAAGACAAGCTGTTAGATGTTTGAAAAAGACATTTCATAAAAAGAAAGGTTTATAATTCTCATATTAATATGTACCTATTTCAAAGTACGTACGTATAAATGAGATTTTTTAAACTCCTACTTATTTTAGAGATATGTTAATTTTGATCAACAGGCATAGCCTTATAATCCAAAAATATTATGGGAGCATTCTGCAAAATGACAGCACGGGTATATATACATTTTGGGATTGCAGACCTGTGATAGGTATTGACCAGTAATTTAACATTATTGCCTTGGCACGATAGACTTACTGAAATTATTTTGACACAAATGCTTTCTACATAATTATTACTATTAATAATATATTAATTCATTTAGTTTTTATAATAATTATCTAAAACATCTATCTTTAAGTAATAATCATAATAAATTGCATATACTAAAAATTTTATGTTTAAAAATTTAATGTTGGATATTTTGTTATAATAATAATTTATTCAAATCATATATTACATATGCATATTTAATTCTGATATCAATAAAATCGAATACAATATATTCCATTATATTTTACTTTAAATTATTGATTCATTATTATTTTCAATAACTTTTGCTTGCATAAGCACGAACCATATAAAAATAAGTATCAAGCTCAAATAATTCTTTTTCGCATGTTTTGACCAACTCATCATATTCTTTATCAGAAACCTGCAAAGTTTTTGTTAAAATAGGTTTAAGAGAAACTAAAGCGTTAATTACATTACCGACATTCTGTTAATTTTATATATATTAAAAACTTTTAGGGCTAATTTTTTTTTTTAAAAAACCCCAATTTAGGTTGTACAATATATTACCACTTTACTAAGTTCGAGATTGTTGTGCTTTGTACCAAAATAGCTTTGTTTCACCTCTTTTTAATATTTACCAATTGCCCTAATTTAATATATATATAATTATTAATTATTAATAAATTAATAAAATAATTTTACTATTCATTATAAAAGATTATTTGATAAAAAGCCAAAAACCTTGATCTTGTAAGTATTTCTCTAATTTTTGATATATATCAAAATCTCCACCTTGTATTCTTAACAATTCAGCTTCTTTATGATAATTGAATAGAACATTACGTAAATAAAAGGATAAGCTATTAGATAATATTAAAATACAAACCGCCATAATTCCATAAACGTTGAGTAGCTGGTCCTCCATTAAATACATTGGAAGGTTCACATAACTTTTTTTAAAAAATAAAATGATTAAAAAACATCTATTTAAAATCTTAAATAAATGGCATAATAATTTTTCAAATAAGCATACCTCTACGAATCCACCTGGTTTTAAAACTCTGACAATCTCATTTATTATATATGCCCACTTCTCTATAGTATATCCAATAAACAAAAATTGTTGAAATACAAAATCAAAAGTGTTATCATCGAATGGTAATCCCTCTTGAGCATTTGCCTTAATGAATTCAAAGTTTCTAGGTTTTATTTGAGTTGGTTGGTACGGAGATATATCTAATCCAACAACATTAATCGGATCCCTATCATTTCCCCGACATCAATTCCCCCGGCAATTACTTCTCCGACAAATCCTTTCCCCGACACGATCATTTCCCGACATCTATTTCCCCGACGGGTGCTGGTCAAAATCCCGATAAACAGAATCCCGACAGGTCATAATCCTGACAAAAAAATCCCGACAGGTCATAATCCCGACAACAAAAAATTATTAAGTTCATTTAAGTTAGGGTAGGGTTAGGTGAGTGCGTAGGTTAGGGTTAGGGTGTGCGCTCAGGTTAAGGTTAAGGTTTAGGCGATTATATAGTAAAATTGCTCAAATGAGCACTTTTTTGATTGTCGGGATTTGTCGGGATTTTTGATTGTCGAGATTTTTTTGTCGGGATTATGACCTGTCGGGATTTTGACCCAAACCCTTCCCCGACAATCACTTCCCCGACACAATCATTTCCCGACAAATCCTTTCCCCGACACAATCATTTCCCTGACATAATCATTTCCCCGAAACAATCATTTCCCCGACACAATCATTTCCCCGACACAATCATTTCCTCGACATAATCATTTCTACAACATATTATTTCCTCGGGGAAATTATTATATCGGGGAAATGATTGTGTTGGGGAAGTGATTGTCGGGGAAGGATTTGTCTGGGAAGTAATTGTCGGGGAAATTGATATCGGGGAAATGATAGGGATCCACATAATAGTGACTAGTGCTCCTAACGGGTTTGATCTGAACGACCCGAAACTGACTTGGTTATATTAAATTTATTATATGGGTCATGAACCATGTACTAAATTTATTATCAGTTTCGGGTCGTTCAGTTCAAACCCGTTAGGAGCAATAATAGTGACCAATGTTCTAAACTAATCAAGTATTCGAGTATTCGCAAAAAAATTTTGTTCGTAAATATTACCATTTTCAACCATTTCGAAAACAGCGAGATAATACTCTTTTTTTATGTTTTATTTAGTTTAGTTAATACGCGTTACAACGGTTTTGTTTTGTTTTAGTTAATACTTTTTGTGTTAGGACGATTTGTTTTTTCGGTTAA